GGGTATGTCTAGTTTAATGAAAGAAGGACAAGGGGTGACATGATAGCAGTGTTCCAATATCTCAGGGGTTGCCACAAAGAAGAGGGAGTCAAGCTATTCTCCAAAGCATCTGAAGGCAGGACAAGAAGCAACGGATGGAAACTAATCAAGGAGAGAAGCAACCTAGAACTAAGGAGAAATTTCCTGACAGTTAGAACAATTAATCAGTGGAACCTGCCTCCAGAAGCTGTGAATGCTCCACCACTGGAAGTTTTAAAGAAGAGACTGGACAGCCATTTGTCTGAAATGATATAGGGTTTCCTACCTGAGCAGGGGGTTGGACTAGATGATCTCCAAGGTCCTTTCCCACTCTATTATATTATATTATTATTATTATTACTATTACTATTACTATTACTATTATTACTATTATTATTATCAGTAGTAGTAGTAGTAACAGGCTGGGATCAAAATTCATCTTATGTATATTAATACATATTGATGGCTCATGCAACATCCTAGCCCAATGCCCAAGGGAAGAGCCAAGTGTTCTGGACCTTCCTAAACATCAGCAAAGTCAGAGCCACGGGAAGGGCAGTGACAGAGAAAACATGTTTGTTGGGTCCCTTCAAATGGTGCTGCTTAATAAACAGGACTTGGAGCATGCCAATTCTCTCTGATCTTTTAGGGTGAGCAGAGATAGTCTCTCAAACATTGTAGACCCTACAATGTAGGGCTTTGTAGATGATCACCAGTGCCTTGATTTCTATCTGGAAGCTACTCAGCAACTAGTGCACCCATAACTAGACATTCTACTGCATTCTGTGCCAGCAGGAGCTTCTGAATAATTTTCAAAGGGCAGCCCAAAACACAGTTCGCTGCAGTAAATAAAATATTAATGTCATCAAGTTATGTTCTTAGCCCTAATACAAGCTCACTCTAGTTTCCACTCTTTCCTGGTCACGAGGGTTTTCTGCATGTTAAGGTCAGGCACACTGATGTACCACCAAATGTCACCACCCCACAATGAGCTTGGTAAGCTCACCTCCATCTCTACCAAGCATTTTTTTGGTAATATATTTTATTGATTTTTTAAAAACATAAATCACTTAATAATTGGTGAATTGGGTTATATTTGTAAAACAATCATTAATAATTGATTTCTATAATCCATAATCCACATAATGGTTTTAGTTGATTTTCTCTTTTCCCGAAATATCCTCTTTTGTAAACATTGAGTTAATACAATTCTTATTGTTTTGACAGATAACTATTAAATATATTTTCCCAATATTCCTAAAAATAATAATCACATCAATATAATATTTCTTTTCTATCCAATCATTCTGGTTGCCTTATCATAGATCTTGTTACAGTCCTTATTTTAGTTTGTTTCTCCCACCAAATTCTAGGTATTCTTACTGGTTAAGATTTTCTCAAAAATAATTATATTTAAAGATTTAACTCTGTTTTTCCATATGAACCATCTCAACTTTTACATTTCTTAAGGAATGGATAAAACAATGAAAAAAAGAAAAAGAAAAGAGAGCAAGAGTAAAGAAACTTTTCTATTTCTTTAACCATATTCAAACAAATGTTTCTTTTTTAAGTATTCTCTCTGGTAAGTCTCATCATCTATTTTCTTGGTTTCCACTTTAGTCTTTTTCCTTTGCCTAGTATCTTTCTTAATCAATGTATTTTGCTGAATCAAAAAGGTTTTCCCTATGTTTGTAAATGTTGCTGTAGATATAAAAAGTAAATCAGGTGAAGTGTCTTTGTGTGGGGCTTCTGCCTTTCCATGTTTGTTGAAAATCTTTTTCTTTCTCTCCGCTTCTCTTATCATTTCCTTTCTCTCCGATGTTCCTGACATCTCTACAGTCCATTTTATCCAATCTGTTTTCTTGTCCTCAGATTTATTTTGTAGTCTTAAGGGATAAGTTGTTTTTTCCAATTCTTGTGAATTTTTTTCCACTAGTATTAAATCATGTTTCCTTGTTTTGTTAAGTTCCATCTTTAAGTGTCTATTCTCAATTCTATATCCATTTATCTGTTTATCTGCTCCTTCTCTGTTGTTGTTTTCTGGGAATTTTTGTTGTAGTAGAGTTAACTTAGAAATAGATTGATTTATATTTTCAAAGTTATTTTGGATTTCTTTGTGGCTTAAAGTCATTGTTGTTTGAATTAGTTTTCTTGCAGCAATTTTGTAAATCAATGTGGGTTGATTTTTCTTGCAAAAAAAACTATTTTTCTTCTGGAAAGATATAGGAATGTGTTGATAACTGGACAATCTGACAATGTGTATAGCACTTGAGAGCTTAAGGATGAAGCATTGTTTGACTGCCTTATCTCATGAAGAATGATTGCACAGTTGCAGCTGGTCTAACCAAGCTGATCACAGAGGACAGATGATGGATGTGAGTTTAATAGCCATTGATTTTTCTACCTGTCTTAGAACTAGGACACAGAACAGACAATACAGCTCCTAAAAAGATAAGACTCAGGTGATATTTAATTGCAAACATTAGTGCTACTAAGTTGTAGAACAACTGATTCACTGTGGTTCAAAAGAGAAATCATTTGTTGGTGAGAGAATGTTTCAGGGCCAAATAGAAGGGGATATTCTACCGTATGTTCCCTAGTAAATTTTGCGTAATGTATTAATGATGTATTGTAATCTGCTTTGTAAAAAAATCTTTTGTAAGAGTTTTCAATTTTACTACCTAATCCCAAGATATTGGAGAACATTATTTGACTTACTCTTGGTGGAGTTTTTTTTAACTTATTATTGTCAGAACTGTGGGAGAGTGCTGCTGTTGTCCCCTAATGGGAGAAAATGTGTCACAATCATTTCTCTTGGATTTAATTAATGTGTGGGAAATCAGAGAGGTGAAGACAGTTGGATATTTGCTCACAAAAACATAAAGATCTATTAACACAATAGACAGCACCTATTCAATTTATCAACAAACTATCTTAAATATTGAAGATTGGCTGGAATGAAAATGTTTAGTGCAGGTTTTAAGACACCAAATGTTTACCTATCTCTCGTCTTGCCCTCTACTGAAAAATGCAACATGTCTTCAAGAGAAACAGTTTACAAAAAAATAAAATTAAACAAAAAACAACCCTCAAGCACATCAATCTTTATTAGAGAACATGAAACAGCATTTTTGGGGGAAGAAATTTCATTAGACTTTCTCTAGCTGCTATTTTCACATAAAGAAATTTAGGAAGATTAATCAGAAGGAACAGAGTAAAATTTAGCCAAGCTATAGCAGGAGTACAGAATTGTTTATTATGAGACAAGAAAAGTAGAGGATACAACTGTGTTTTGATTACTAATTACATATACACAAAAATAATGTTAAATAATCAGGCCTTTATTAATTTTACAAAGCTGTTTTACATCCTTGAATTGCAACTTATTTTGTTTGAAAATGAACAATTTCCCCATTCTTACAGAAGAAACACTCATAAAATATAAAATCATTTACAAATGGCATAACATCTAAATACCATTTCTGAGAAAGCAATTCCTTTTTTCCAGGTAGTGTGCAAAATTCTTATTTTTAGCTCCATTTTATTTATAATAAATAAATATAATAAACTATTTATAATAGTACAGGTGGTGCTTGACTGCACATTACCAAAGATCAGCCAGCCAGAGATTGCCTGAATCATGAAATCATGAGCATATTCCACAAAATTAATCTTTCTTTCCCAACTTGACCTTTAAATTAAAATTTAAAGAAGGTGCTGCATATGTTGCAGATTCATAACTTTCATCTCAAAAAGCTACAGTTCTTAGAAAAGAGAATAAATTTAAACAGTTTTAATTTGTGCAAGGCTGCTTGCTTGTGAAATCCTTACCAACTGTTTATTCATTTAAATTTATATTCCAGATTATATTTCTTTAAATTTCCAATTTTATATATCTCAGCTAATATTTGATATATTTATGCAGGTAAAAATATGTAACATAACACTATTCTGCTTAATATGCTCAGTCACACTGCTCAGCCAGACTGTAAAATGAAAGCATTCCTACATTCAGCCTACATTTTTGTTCATTATAATTGCTTTTGTTTTTATTTATTTATTAAATTTATTTGCTGCCCATTTCCCCAGTGAGACTCTGGGAGACATACAGATCATTGAAAGTTAAATAGAAAAGCAGCCAAGATTTTAACAGTATGCCAATTAAAACTTTTTAAATTATGCAAAACACCCCCCACAAAAAATATCAGAACCAAGAGGAGTTGCTTTTAAAGGTAAAATGAAAAATGAAAAAGATTTCAAATAATGGATTAGAATTCACATCTGGAGTGCAAACTTCCAGACTAACACTGTACCAGGGAATCTACCTTCAAACATAATTACTGAAACTTATCCATACACGTTTCTAAATCCAAAATTGAATTCTGAATTTTGAAACTTGTGCAAACCCAACTATAGCATCTAGAATGCAAATCTGGTAAGAGTTCTGGAAAAATTCAAATTCCAGATAGGATCACCCAGGCACTATATTAACTGATGGCTCCATTTCAAATGAAATTCAACAACATGGGAAGTAGATCCTGCTATATCTTCTTGTGATGTAAAAAACACATACTGATGCATGCCTAGTAGAAGACTTCCTCTTTCAGCCTTTACATTCACCGTGCCCAAATGTTCTAATTTTATTCCCTTTGTGCACCAGCACTTGTGGACAATCAATTGTTGTATTACTATCATGCTTCAGGGATAGTCTCTTCTTATAGCCAAAAGGGCAAACAAGGCTATAATACAGGTCTGAATGAAAATTGTATGTTAGAATGAAAGGTGGGTATAAGTCATGTTCAGGAAAGATGACAAGGCCATCTTGTTTGCATGTCTACAGAAGAAAGGAAGCATTCCACAGAAAAAAAAATAACATCGCAGAGGGTAGGACAAGAATGGGCACCTCTGGAAGGAAGGCTGTATTGGAAAGATGGTGCTTGATCCATCACATGCTGGTTGCGTTGGGATATTATGAGTTGCTCTCAGTTATTATTCATAATCCACCAGGAAGCTAGAGGAAGAAATGAAAACATTTACAAACTTTAAAGACGCAAACTAGTTTACACTAAGTTGTAATACATGATTCTTGACCTCATAATCTACAGGTTTTAGACTTTAAAATAAGCCCTTTTCCACATAGATACAATGTGCTAAGCTTAACATGTCTTAATAATTATGGCTTACAGTCTGGCTGTATTTCTATTTAGCTAATTCGTTATTAAACTTATTTTTCCACCCATCTTGCCAAAGGTGTAAAATTGCACAATTATGACCATAGCCTGAAAACGTTGCTAATTCTTAAAATATGTCTTATCAAACTGAGAACTGTCACAGTGTCAAAACTTGTGTTTTGCTCACCAGAGGAAACCGAAAATCAGCTGTTTATTAAGCATTTCATGGAGAAAATCTATGTGGTTGCTAAGAGTTGATATGGACTTGATGGCACATAATCACTAAGCATTATCTTACCTGGGAACAGCATAGTAGTCAGGAGCTCTGGAGCATCCAAAAAATCAGTAATGGCATGCTGGAACTTCTTACTATTATCTGACTGTAGATGGCTAGAAACACATTTTTTTAAAAAGATTAATAAATTTTAGAACAGAGTGACTTTCTGCATCTAAGGGCAACAATTAGCAGGTTTTGTATATTTGAGTGTCTGAACTTTGCTAAACCTAACAGGAATCTTTCACACGCACATCCCCCGTTTTGCTCATAAAAATGTAAATTACTTTTGTGGAATTGTACTTAACCTCGATATAAGTTATTGATGATTTTTAGGAATCACCTTCTCCAAGATACTACATCTTGCCATAATTCATAGAGGATGAAGGAGGTATCACTCGCCAGCTTGTGGGCAGACACACTGCAAGCAAAAAAGGGAAGATATTAAGAAAAAATATTATTACTATATATCATAAACCATGCTGTGTATATAAATAGGATGCCAGTGTCTACAATCAGCCCACTCTTCCGCCTCCTCCTAAATGATTCATGAATGAATTTCTTTTACTACTCTCAAAGAAAAGATAATTATTTTCATTTTTTATTATTCATTGTTTTCAATTATATTTCATTACTAATTATTTCTTTTTAAAGGAACATGTAGCATGTTATGGTGGTGAAATTAATTACCCAGTCTATATATACAATGGAGGTCCCTTCCTCACCACCACCATTTTATAGCCTTCAGAATCCATCCCACACCAGCCATAATTTGTCCTCACTGCAGTTGCCTTTAGAACATTGAACTCCCAAGTATTCTGCTTGAAAACTCACACTAGAGCAGTTTCTCTTTTGCCATAAGTGAACCAGAAAGAAATTGGTGTGGGATGGGATGGCATGGAATCACGGGGGCATGAAAACAATACAAAGGTGAGATAAGCAACAGAATCTGAAGTTTTTATCTGAAAGGCCGCTCTTCACTTGGTTTCCAAGACAATGAAGAGATATAATAATATTCTACATTAACAGTAATCTATTATTCTGAAACTTAACTTAATATGACCCATTAAACAAATAGATCACAGTAGTTATATTTGTCCCAAGACTACTGCTAAAAATGCTACCCCTCACATTGTCCCCCTCCCCCTCATCCCCTGATAATGTTTACTGGTTTTTCTTATAGTCACCTAGAGCAGTGGTTCTCAACCTTTTTAATGCCGCAACCCCAACCGGTTGTAAGTCGAGGACTAAACCGGTCGTAAGTCGAGGACTAAACCGGTCGTAAGTCGAGGACTAAACCGGTCGTAAGTCGAGGACTACCCAACTGGTCGTAAGTCGAGGATCCTGCCCGGGAGTGCCGCGCATGCGTGGTTCCGCCCCCTGCACCGGCCGAGGCGTAGCTGGCAAGCGGCAGAGATGGAGCAGGCCGACCACCAGCTGGCCCAGCCCAAGGGAGGTAAGGCACCCGCCGGAAAAGGGGGAAAAAATGGCGGACAAAAAAAATGACGGACAGCCTTGCTTGGCGACCCCCGTGAAATGGTCGATCGACCCCAAATGGGGTTGCGACCCATAGGTTGAGAACCGCTGACCTAGAGAGTGGCAGAGAGTGATTTGGAGAAATGCATACTTTGATGCCCCTGGAGACTGGCAAATGTATCTAACAGGGAAAAAGATTGAGGGGACAGAACATGATACTGAGCTGGTGTTTTGTGCAGTAGTTTAATGTTGAGTGCAGATGTAACCCTACTGTAGAAGTTATATGTTTTATTCATTCAGTTTGAGTGCTGCTTCAACTCCAGCTGTCTCTGGGAGGCTCACAGCATACACAAAATGAACCAAAACAAGCACAGAAAATCCTCAAAATAATCATAAGATAGCATCCCAACAACAAAGCAAACATCATGCATAATAATTTCCATACTGAATGAAAATCAGCATTTAATTTAGTTTCTTCAGAATCCGTAGAGACTCTTGAGTTCCAGAATTTATTTTGTCCTACAGTTGCTAACTGTAGACTGAACATTCCAATAAACTATAAAGATGGGTTAATATTCCAATTTGAAATCAGATTAATTTTCTTCATTTCAATGTGTCTGTGTGTGTACTTAAATGGTACTAAATGAAGCATTAATTAAGGTTGTTTCTTTCTTGCTTTTTTTTTTTTGAAAGGTCACACTCTATTTGCAGTTATATTTCAGGCAGTTAGTAGCATGTTTCAATTACCAAGAATATTCCTGAGCAGTTTTTATAATGATAGCAATAGGAAGAACAGGATGGGACTGAACTCAAAGCCACATGAGCACACTCTTATGAACCATATATTAGTTTTCCGAGTTTCTATTTCAACTGCACAGAAGAAGCAAGAGTACATCTTTGTAAAGAGTCTGCCTCTTGTATTTCAGAATCCATCTACTTTATGGAGCTGTTTGTTGGAAAGTGAACTTCATGGATATCGGGGTTAGCATATAAAATAACACCCCATAAACATAAATAGTTTCCTTCAAATTACTGAGAGAAAACTAAGGTTCATAATGCTAAAGAAAGAGAGCTTTGCTATCTTTTTCTAAATACACATCTCATGCAAGCTACCTATAAAAAATCAGTTTCTTGGAGACTTACTGTAGGCAACTGCTCTGTCCAGCTGTGGTTTCTGTGTAGGTTTGGAGAATTTGGCAAAATGCCACTAATCCACTTTCTGCCACTGAGATCTGTCTCTGTGCCACCAAGATGTGCTGCCAAAATGGGGAATGGGAAAGAGATAGCCAAAGGAGAGAAAATTTACAATTTCTATCAATATGGACTTAGAAATACTATGCAAGTCAGAAATAACTCTAAAGGCTCACCCACTAAAAGCAAGTATTCGTGATTCACATCCAGCCTGACAATCATATTTTACTAGTATCATCTCTGCCTGCCAATTGGCCAGCTATCCTCCCTTCTCCTCAGAATTCCAATGGAAGACTCAAAAAAGTGTAATCACACTTAGAATTCTCCCCCTTTGCCCAATCTACTGGACTACCTCAAAGGGGTGGGGGAATAGAATATCCACACTGGATATATCAGAACTATTAATAGAATTGATCAGGAAAGATGGGGGGAGGGGAATTAAGACAGCTAAAGCTTTTATTTCTGGAGAGAGGGAAGAAATGGCAGGAGCAGCACACAGGACAAGGTGAAAACTTTAGCCAATTGGCAACCAGTTGTTCTGCATTTCCAAAGCAAATGCAGTGGAAAAGGGGTCAGGATCAGGACTTGTGGACAAAATGATTAGAGTTTTAAAAGTTGGGATAGAATGCATACACATTTCCCTATCTTTGCCAAACTGCTGTACAACAAGCTTCACCTTTCAAAATCCCTGCATTATGGTGAACTAATCTATAGTAGCCTTTCTTTTATCCTCAGAGATTGCTGAATTTTTCTTGTATAGTAACCAATATATGAATTATTTTTATCTATCTATGTATCTATCTATGTATCTATGTATCTATGTATCTATGTATCTATGTATCTATCTATCTATCTATCTATCTATCTATCTATCTATCTATCTATCTATCTATCTATCTATCTATCTATCTATCTATCTATCTATCTAAGCTCATTATTTCTACTAATACAGTTCTAATATATGAATTGGCTCCAGAAACTCACGGAATCTGTTCCTTTGCAGACCATATTATATTTCAAAGGCTCCAGCCTTGGACTCTAAGAAATGCAGAATTATTATGAAAGGAAATAAGTTACAGAGTAGTTGAGATACATAATTGATTTCACATAACTGTCCTTTTCATTAGGCATTCACAATCATTTCATTATGTTCTTTCAATAGTCTAACCATGCTGGCTAGGCAGTCTAGGGGTCATAGTCTTCTCACATCTGGGGAATGCTAGGTTGGGAGTGGCTAAGAGATCATTCAAATAGTCTGTCATTTATTTGTCACATTTGTTACATTACTACTGATATATATAGAGATGCATAAATAATTCTGTACTCTGCAAGCAACATTTCTCCATCCTTAGACAATTCTGGCAATAGAGAAAAAGCCATTTTGTTATAACCTGATTTAAAATTTCATTCCCAGTTCTCCTTAAAATATACAGCACTCCACCTGATAGGTGGGCATCCTTTATGCATATCTCTTGCATATCTCAGAAATTATGTCTGAACATACTAGCCATACACAGATGTTTGAAACTTCCCTGGTTAATTTTGGTTGCTTTTGAACCTATTTTAAAACTTGGGTTCATGAACATTTCTTTGTAACCTAGATTTGTTATAGTCCTTTTGTAGGATTGAAGGTAATTCTTAAAAGTTGATCCAACTATGATATTAAATTCTAATTAAGAATAGAAACTCAGTACAGGAACTAATAAAACTTTCAAGTATCTCTGAGGAGAAAATTTATAACATAAAGCTAGTGTCACTAGAGACAATTTTACTACATTTGATGCTCAAAGGTCTGTTTGGTATATCAAGAGAAAATAAGGACTGGAAAAATGAGAGAACTACATATTAACTATGTTGTGAGTTATTGAGTGTGTTTAGATACAATTTCAAACATTCAAATCCAAATAATCAGTGTCATGAGAAAATGCTTCAAGATAAAGTTCCCATTTTATCAATTTTTCAGTTTTATTTGCTGGCCCACCTTACATTCCAGTTTGCCGATGAGTTGTTGTAGCTGGGTAATTTCAGATGGCCACTGGCTATCAGTTTCCACACAAACACCTGAATGTAATCCAACAACAACAAAAAAAGACTCAGCTGAAATCACAGACAAGTAGCTTTCCCAACCAAGTGGAATATAGAAAAAACATTCTAGTAGGATTGAGTCAGTTTGGTATAGTGGTTAAGACATCAGGCTAGAAATTAGGAGACTTTGAGTTCCAATCCTGATTTAGGCACAAAACCATATAGTTAATCTTGGCTGAGTACTTTCTCTCAGCCCTAGGAAGGAGGCAATGGCAAACCACTTCTGAAAAACCTTACCAAGAAAGCTGCAGGGACTCCAGTCTCCAAGAATCAAACATGATGGAATTTTTTAAAAAAGGACTGAGAGCTATATATATATATTACACCTCTTCAGCTCCCTGCCCACTCTACACCACAAAGGAACATTACTAGATTTTTTCTGATATTTTCCTTAAAACAACAAATATTAAATAATTTCCTGCTTTCAATAACAGAAGCCAAAACCTAGATTGGAAAGTGCTAAACCATTATAGGGATTATATTATCATTAGTGAGCATCCTTTCCCATGCCACTCTTGTGATGAAAACAGTAATATGGGACAGCTTTGGCATGTTGCTTATTCACAAATCAGAAATGCTGCTTTTTCAAGCTGTTCTCAAGATCATAGTTAAGCCTAACTGTATAGTTAGATGTGATGGGGGAAAATGGTTAATCAGCTGGCGTTTCTCCCTCAGTGTGTTCTTTGATAAAGGACATCTCATTTATTTACTTTAAAAAAAATCATTCCAAACATTTTTACAAGCAAAAGTCTGAGAGGCCTTATATAACTACAGCTGTGCAGAATGTTAAGAAAACATTTCCTTCAATAAAGCCTTAGTAAAAGGGATCCCTTGAAGTGTGGCAGTCCTTCACTATAAGAGTAAAGTTGAATCAATTTTACTAGTTTTAGTATCAGTGACTCAATAGGATGGAAAAACTTTATGGAAGTGAATCACTTCCACTTTACATACCACAAAATGTAATAAAATACTATATAACAAGATAACAATAAAATCACATCACACCAGCCAACAGCTAAAAGCATTCATTGTAGCTCAAACATTTGGTAGCTGAAAACTAGAAGGAAGGAATCAGCAGGAGTTAAGACTGATCTGAACGTATGCATGCATAAATAAAAGTGTATGTGAGAAGGAAAAAAACACATAGGCACCTCAAAAATATCAGAGGAAACATTCCAGAGTTCAGATCAACCACAGAGAAGGCCTGGCCACTATTAACCACAAGATGGCACTCAGGCAATCTTAAAACATGCAGCAGGACCTTTGTGTGGATAATCTGTCAGATAACCTGAGCCTAAGCTGCCTATAGTCTTCTATGTTATAAGCAAAACTCTTCAGCTGGTGGCAGCCAATACAACTGCTTTTACAATGGTGCTACATGGTTATGATCAGGTATCCCACTCTAGTACTTCCAGTTCTCAGATGAAGCACAAGGGCAGCTCCACACTGAGCACATTAGATCATTAAAAGCACCTTTCGGACTTCAAAACAATGGCTGCCCTGTGATGCTTATTACTATGTAAACTAGCTATGGTGTTGATCAAATAATTTGTGTAAGCCATTAGGTTACTGTTTTCTCTATTCAAACATTGTTGAGCCTTTTTTTTTTACAGTTAATTCTCTGCAGTAAAGCATGCTCATACTAATGCAAATCCAGGAATCAGAACGACGAAAGCTACCAATACCTGTGGTCAGCATCCCAGAATATGGATCTGTAGGAGAATAGCAGATGTTCTTCTGAATTCTTCGGCCACATCTTTTTGTAGTGTGTTGACCCTTTAAAGCTTCTGATTTGTTCATATTATTCCTAAGAAGCATAACATCAAGACAGTACATATTCTAGGAATAATCACTAGTTTGCCATCTCTGATTCTGCTTGCATGATTCATCATTTTTCATGATAACAATACAAAGTGAGAAATAAAAGGCATGCTCTAAATGTACATGTGAGCTAAAATATGTGGGCTTTTATTCATCTTCCTTTCTTTTTAACAGTTTAATTCTCCAGTAATGCAAAACATTACTGCAGAAATATTGCCAACTGAGGTTTTACTTCAGAGAGATGCAGGGATACTTCCTGGATACTAAGATCCAATTCTAATGATATTCTACTTATTTGTTTCCCCCCAGCTACAATTAACGTTGTATAATTAACAAGGCAGGATTCCTACTGGTGATTTACAGTATCTTCTAGTGCAGAGGTCTCCAACCTTTTGGGCACCAGAGACCAGTTACATGGAGAGAGGTTTTTCCATGGACCGGAGGGAGCAGGTTTTGTATGCTGCCTGCATCCTGCAGATGGGTTTTTGTTTGTTTGTGCAGACTGGTTGCTGGCATGCCGCAGCCCAGTACCAGTCCACGGACCGGGGGTTGGGGACCCCTGTTCTAGTGCATGGGTATCAAACTCGATCGCATCATGTGACGTATCATGACGTATCACAATGTTTTTTGCCTTTGCGGAGCCAGAGTGGGTGTGGCCTTCATGTGACACATCCAGCCCGTGGGCCACCAGTTTGACATCCCTGTTCTAGTGTATCCCAACAGTATTGAGTCAATACAACTATAATGAGGACAGGCTTTACATCTTCAACAGTGCGGTCATCTAGAGTATGCTTATTTTGCGAATAGTAAAGAAGCCCAGACAAAGATGCAAAAGTGGGGGGGGGGGGAAGGACCTAAAACTGTAGATATGGTAGAATTAATCTTTACAGATTAGATGAGGAGACTTAGAAAATGATAGAAACTGAGTTCAACCTCACTCTTAATTTTTTGGCCTTTGCTATACTGCCCAGGTGGTTGTTTTACCTTTCTCGGCCACTCTGTTCTTCAATAGTATCTGCAGCACACTCTAGGGAGACTTGCAGAGACTGTATCTGGTTCATTGTCTCCCGCAGAAGGAAGCGAGTCACAAACTGTTCCATCTTGGAGGAACTCTCATATGCCTGTAGGAGTTAAAGAGGCAGCTGAGTACTAATAGATAATTTCTCGCAGCACTGCTAGAGTAAGGAAAGAGAATATTTTTAGGTCAGTGGGAACAATTCAGTTTTTTAATAAATATAGCTGGTACTGTCACAAAATGGCTACCATGCCAGAGGAAGGAAATATTGATTAAGACAGCTGCTTGTTAAAATGATTTTGGTCACTCCCAAAACACCCAAATTCCAGAAAGCAAACTAGTGATATTGCATCCTGCCAACTCTTCTAGGCTTCCAATGTGTCCAGCTTGTTTTTTGGATAAATAGGCATACCTCCAAAACAGAGAATTGGGTTGCAGTTACTACCACTTTTATTTTCTAATCTTTGGGGGAGACCCACAGACATTCTTGGAAATAACGATGATGCTAGACTTTGATAAAATGTTAGTAAAATGTTTTTTTATTATTATTTTTTTTTAAAATAGTTTTTCAAAGACAACCCCCAAACAGGCAGTTGAAACAGGGCACTTTGGTGGTTTTCACAGAAATATCTGTAGGTGCATTGGTGCCCATGGAAACTATGTTGAATATTTCTGCTCGGTGCCTCTGACTCAGCTACAAACTTCTAGCCTTTTTTAAAAAATAGGACATATAGGGACACTATCCTTACATTAACTTATTAAAATATTTCATCTATTTTTTTCCAAGCAAAGCAATAATGCCTTTTTTCCTCATCTTGGAAAATTCTACAGATGTCTATAGTACATAAGTATCATAATCCAGAAGAAGAAATAACTGCCTATATTATAATAAATAACGGACAAGGTTTAAAAATGGTAGTCGGCCAATTGTTTGCAGCTGGGAAAAGAAGTGTATGCCTTGAAGAGTTGCAGACAAGAATTATGTTTAGACCCTTGCATATTCAGAAGTACTTATCCTTGTGTAAATCCACTGCACTAAGGATGCAATCCTGTATACATCTACTTGGAAATAAGAAGAATATATTTGAACATTTGTAGGTTCTATGCTTTATATAATTTAGTCTAAATCAGATTTAATGAAATTTCCTTTTTTTAAAAAATGTCTTTATATATTTAGCCAGCACATTTCTATATACCTGAAAATAAAGGGTTTTTCTTTTTTTAAAAAATAAATTTGATCTAGATTTTATTTTTATATATAGTTCTTATAAAAAACATTGAAAATTTAAAGTTCCACTTTTTCCCCACTCTAAATAGGGCTACTTTATTCAATTCACTCAAGGACCAACAGTTACTCTAAAAGGACTACACTTTTTGTTGGCTTTGTTGCAAAAGACTAACATACTCGACTTTTGAAATTTTTTGAAAGAAAAATATTTGAAAGAATATTAAATCATGAAGATATAATATGAACCTTAGTGCCTAATTAAATAGGAATAGCAATTGTTTTCATTTATTAAATGGAATATATATTAATGTAATAGAAATTTGCCATATGCTCGAATTTTAAAGAGTTATATTATGTAAGACACAGAACATGGGAAAAGAACATAAATCACAGGATGGGCTCTTAACAAATAAATTAATTCATCTATACAAGACTACAATGCATTCATCTCCTAAACTGATATTAACAACTGTGTTCTGGAAAAAGATACTGAGATAATAATGAGATGTTACAAGTCAATTGAGAAAGAATGAGACTGTCATCCAGGAGACTTAATCTTCAATTTTATCCTGCCAAAATATATATTTTGCTTTGGATTAATCATGAAGTATGAGACATTCTGTATTTGTAATTTGGTCAGGATCCATAGAGCTACTTAGTTTCTGTAACAAAATTGCAAAATGGCTGTTGCTTGCACTTACTGTAAGGCAATCTATACAATAATAACAATAAAGATTGATAGTAATTAATGAAAAAGAATAATAGAGAAAAAGGAAATGGTCCGTTATTGCATCTTTACAGAGGATATTATTATTATTGCTACTAATTTTCATCATTGAAGTAAAAGGAGGAAGAAATCCAGTCAAAGCACATAGCATATTAACTGAAATTATAACAAACAAGGAAATTAATGACCATGAATCATGTTTTCCACCCAAGAAGTGATGTCTGAAATGATATAGGGACTCCTGCTTGAGCAGGGGGCTGGACTAGAAGGCCTCCATGGTCCCTTCCAGCTCTATTCTGATTGATATTGATTGATTGATTGATTACAAAACAGAAACAACTGAAAGCTGAATTAACGCCAGAAAATCAGACCAAAATGTACATATGAAAAGTACCTAGAACCCTGCTAAGTAGCTTGATCTCTGATAGTTATTATCTGGGTGAAAATAATATAATATAACCTGGACAAGACCTGGCAGGTTATGGAGGAGAGCGTTTTGGAAAGTGAGGGCAAGAGTGTGAAGCAGTATGAGTAATACTGTGATTGTGATGGGCAGATGGAGATATGATGGGAAAGAGGAAGAAAAGTTGCTGAATCTTGGGAGAAAATATTCCTCCAAAGGATAGAAGCAGCAATAGAGGAAGCATGTTTCTTGAGTTTTCATCAAGACTTTTAACCACTATACTATTTCAGCTCCCAATGGCAGACTGAGACTAAAATATATTGATCATGCCATCAGCTTATGCAAATGTCTAGAGTAAAACTAGTTGGCTATGTAAACTGTCTGCCCTCTAATTTCATGGCTGCCACTCATGATTGATGATCAGGAACTTTAGAAAATACCACAGTTGAGGATGATAATGAGAAAATGGAAATAACAGTTGGACCTAATAGAAACTAAGGAGGTACCAAATGGTCCCACATAACTGCGAATGAGGAAGACAAACTCCATGATTTTATTTACGCAACATAGCAATTCTACCACTGATGTATTTCTTTTTGCCACAATAACCATTCTTAATTATTTAAGATGCTATAAACCAAGAGCCTTACTGTATATTAGGTTTAAGAATAAATAGTGACAAGATAACAACAATGAATATAATATGGACAGAGTGCGGTAATTAGAATTAAACATTCCCTAAAAATCAGCCACTTAGTCAAAGTTTTAGAATACTTGTTAATTGATTAGCTATAATGAAGCCTAAGACTTGAAACCAAATCTAAAACAAGTGTATTTATTTATTTATTTGTATTCCACCTTTATTATTTTTACAAATAACTCAATTCAGCACACCTTCTTCCTTCTGTGGTTCCCACGACCACCCTTTGAGGTGAATTGTGCTGACAGAGAGTGACTGGCCAAAGGCCTGGATGTAACATACCTGCACAAGAGGTATGTGTGTGTATAAATATGAACATCAACATGAATATGAATAAAGAAGATTAGGACCAGATGAATTATGAGATACCAAAAACTATTCTGAGTTAAGGAATGGAGAAAATGCCAAAGCACTCACAATGAGTTTCAAGAAGAAAAAAGGGAGGCTTTTCCACAAAGTAATTTTGCCCCATGCAATTTCTTTGAAGATGTTCATCAATCATTAGCATTTGTCTGTTAATTGTTCTGAACTCCTTTATATTCAATGGAAAAAGGAGAGATAGAGGAGGAAGATGTCTCTTGATTTATTTAAAGCCAATGCACTGCCAAGCAGCAAACGGCTAGCTCCAGCATACTTCAGCTGTGACCACAGGAGCTTTCCGTTCTGCTATTTTTAGCCTTATAAATATGCTAATTGATCCTTTCTTCCACCTTCTCTCTGCTTTCAGAATTCTGTTTATTGGAAATATGATAAACATACATTCCAGCAGTGGATACATAACAATCCTAACTCACAGAAGCATTTAGGAAATTGCTGCTTATTTTATTTTATTACTGGTGGTAAAGAAATGGAGAAGGCCAGGGAAGTTAATGAAAAATCAAACAACAGAGGAAATGTTATGTGAATACATGTGACAGAATGTGGGTGTCTGGAAAACTGGTATTTTACTTAGATATTTAATATGCTAGGGGTGGTACTGTGGGTAGACACCATGGAGTACAGGCGGGCAAAATAAAACCATGGAAGCAGGAGCAATTTCCAACTTCCTTGTAATTTTCCAATTGGGTTTGCTTTATTGGAAATGACAATCACATGACCTCATCTCACTGTAATATTATAATTGTGAACCAGACACCAAGTGCCGAGATCATAATCACATGACCCTGGGAATGCTGTGATGGCTGGAATTCCAAGCCTGATTATAAATTCCACGTCTTCCACGTTCTGAACAGTCTGCACTATATATTTTGGTAGGCAGTGTATAGTATCCTAAATCAACTTTTTTAAATTTTAGCACACAATTTTGTATGGTGAGTACCACTGGAAAATGAAAATTAAAGAAAAATCATTACAAATGTCTAAAAAAGCTCACTTTTAAACTGTGCACTGAAAAGAACTCCAGTTTTCTGTTATCAGTCAGTTATTATTAGCAATATTTCTATCATATCCAAGCCTGCAAAAATCCAGATGACTATTTGATTAATTGCTTCATTTGTGAATAAGGCATTACCGTATTTCCTCGAAATACCGTATTTCCTTGAAAATAAGCCCTAGCCTGATTTTTACGTGGACAATGGGGAGGGGGGGAAGGCTTTTGCTGTGGGGCTGACCAAAGTTTTTACAGCAGACAAATGCAGGTCTCTGGGGATTAGGATAGAACCCAAAGAGCAACTTAAAGCACGGAAGGCATGGGCTTCCGTGAATGCTAAAAGTAAAGGGGGGCAGTGTAAGCCGCCTGAGGGAGAGGCAGAGGCAGAAAACTGCTGCAGGGTGGTCGGTTTCACCCACCCTCACCCAGGAACAAAGTTTCTCAAGCAGCCCTGAAGAGCTTGGTTACCAGGGTTGCACCTGCTTGCACGAAGCAGCAGTCTGTTTGGGCTGTCTCCGTCCCAGCTGGAGCAGCAATTGCTTGTCTGCACTTTTCACTGCCCTGCATCAGCCTGAATGTCCCTTCTCTGTTCTGGAAATGGCAATCCTGTTTTCTGCCACTTCTACTCCCAGTGATGTGTTCTTCCTTCGTATGAAGCTGGAGCTGGGCAAGGAAGGCC